ACAGTTTCAAGAGTTGACACAGTTGTTCTGTGGAAAGCGTGGTCCTGCTGCTCAGAGTGGTGTCTGATTTTAATCTTAAACTGACCACCTCTACTGCATCATCAACAGGAATGCATGTAAAGAGTGATGTGACATCAAAAGAGACCATTGTTTCATCAGTCTCCATGATGACATCCCTCACCTTGTCCACAAAGTCCATGGTGTTCTGTATGTGGTGTTCTGAGCTGCCAACTAAAGGGATGAGTACAGATGCCAGATATTTGGATATCCTTTTCTACAATTTTATTTTATTTTATTTTTTTTGAATGTCCAGAGGACCAGATTTAACTTTTTTTTTTTTTAGATTTTTCTTCCTGGATTATTGAGCATGCATCAGGATCTATTTACAATGGTTTGATCAAATCAGCTATAACTTTGTCATTTCTCATCGTAAGATAGTTTCAGACTAAAACTATGGCATGAAAGATGTTTGGCCTGTAGTCCTAAAAGTTTTACAATTTTACATTTAAGTATTTGATAATGCTAGTACCTTCTTTTAGTTCAAGAGTGAAAAGTCCCTTTACAGCCAGAATTCTGTATTTCTGTCTCACTTATTCCAAGTTTCATCATCATGAAGGGGAATTTACTGACTGCATTTAAAGAAACAACAGGATGTCTGTTAGAGGTATTTTAAGACACGCGATGAGTGCATCCTGTGACTCTGACAGTAACTAGATTTATTGTAACCAATCATAGAGCTCACTCTGGAAAATAAATCTCTGCTCAGCTTTAAATTCATTCTCTAGTTAAATGAGCATGTTGTTGCACAGAGTGACTTACCAGTCAGACTGCACCACATGTCACTGTGGTAACCCATCATGTGATCGGGGTTGTGCTTCCAGAGCATGTTCATACAGGCAGTTTGACAATATTGGAAATCCCAACAGGATTGTTTTTGTTTTCATATCACCGTGTTTCTGTTCAGATTCTCATAGTTTGGATTTGTGTTTGTCTGCTCATCCCTCACAGGCTCGGATCTCTTTTGTGCGGGTGAAGTACCTGTTCCTCACGTGGCTGACTGTGCTTGTGGGCAGCTGGGTGCTCTACGTGCAGTACTCTACCTACACAGAGCTCTGCAGAGGACATGAGTGCAAGAACGCCATTGTGAGTGATTGCAGAGATGAACAGCCTGCATCAAAATGAACAATACACATTTATTAGTTGCTTGCTTTTACATGTTACGGAATAAAAATGATGACCAGGTCCCCACCAGGTGTTACACTGAGGTAAATACTACTTCAGGAAGAAGACATTACACACTAAACTGAATTTTATATTGAGTACGTACTTATTTATTTCAATAAACGTAGGCCAATATGCAAAAAAAAAAATATCTGTAACTTATTTAAAAGCATAGGCTTTCATAGTTTACTGAATGTGTTAGCAGAATACTAAGGAGGAAAGACCTCGGCAATAACCTTCAAGAGGAACTGTTGCTGCTCTTCATTCTGGGAATGGTTGAGGGTCATTTCCCAACAGTTTGGAGTCCTTCATGCTAAGAGAATGATAATTCACAAAAGAAAAAGATTAAGGACCGATCTAACAAGGCTGGGCCAGGTCCTCTGGATAGATTCTTCTTTGCTGAAATGTTTCTTTTTTTTATCCAAAAGACTTCTTCAGTCAGTCACTTAATATACTTAGATTTATCTACCTGGATTATTGAGCATGCATCACGACATTAAATACAGATGTTGATAGATGTCAAAGTAAGTTCAGCCTGAGGTTAGATGACATTCAAAAATGTTTAAATACTGCATTTAAAAAAGCTCTGTTAGCAGAGCTTAGTTATAGCACATTAATTATTCAAGTGTTTGCCAGTACAATAGTCCCTCGTTTATCGCAGTGGATCCGTACCCTGAAGCCCTGCGATAAGTGAAAAACGGCGAAGTAGGAATAGTAGTACAAGTAGTAAGTAGTAGTTTATTTTAGTATTCATATATATA